CGCGGCCCCACGCACCTGCACCTCAGGGGCCGCGGCCAAAGTGTCGGGAAGAAAGGGCCGGGAGATAGCCTCTGCCGACGCGCTGTCCTCCACAAGGTGCGACCCACGTTGCTGCTGCCGCCGCCGCCGCCGCCGGACTCTCCCGGCCTGCGGGCGGGCGCGGCCGAGGAGGGGGGACGAGGGCTGCAGCCCCCGGCGCCGGGACGAGGAAGGACGGCGGCGCCCGAGGGGGCCGGCTTGCGCTCTCGAGTCTCGCCTCGCGCCGGCCCTGCTCCTCCACACGGGCTCGCGTTCTGCTGACTAACGGCCCCGGCGCGAGGCTCTGGAGCGGCCGCCGCCGTCGGCTGCTCTCGGGCCTCACGTCCCGCGCGGCCGTGGTTGCAGCCGCCGCCGCCGCCACCTCCCTTTCTGGCACTGCAGACACCACCCAGACCCAGCCAGGTCTTTCTTCTCTTTAACCTTCCTTTCTTTGCTCCTCCTCAGCCTGCCACCGCGGGGCTAGCTCTGGTGGCGGGAGGAAGGCTGGAGGGGAACCGAGGGGGCGAGCAAAATCCTCGCTAAGGCAGGAGTTGGTCACTGACTGGAGGAAGATGCCAAGCTGACCCGGGCTCCAGCCTGCGAGCGGGCCGGGGGAGGGACGCAGCGCAGCTTAGCCGGACTTCAACCAATCACAAGACGCCCAGCGGAGTCGGGCGCCTGGAGAGGCTGAGCTGGGTCGGCAGGAGGCGGGGATTGCGGAAAAGAAGAACCAATCAAAGCAAAGGCTCCTTGCCTCTCCGCCTTGATGGACTGCCACGTTCGGACCAATGGGGGAATTCTCGCTTCGAAGGAAGCGGGATTTAGACGCCGGGATTGAGAGAGAGGCTGCGCGGAGGGGGATGGGTCGAGACTGGGCCGCGTGGAAGAACATTGAGGGTTTTGACTGACCAGAGGGAGTCCTTTGACCTCCGCGATGAGTCACGTGGGCTGACGGGGGCGGGGGCGGAAAGGCTGGATAAGTTCCTTCCGGGTCAGTGACAGAAGCGGGGACTCCGTGGGATAGTTCCGGCCGTGTTGGTTTTCCTCGCGTCTTCCTTGTACCAGCGCGAGGTGATTGTGGTTTCTACGATGAGCTCCCAGAAGGGGAACGTGGCTCGTTCCAGGCCTCAGAGGCACCAGAATACGTTTAGCTTCAAAAATGACAAGTTTGATAAGAGTGTTCAGACCAAGGTAGGAACCTGCCTGTTGCACCAAATCTGACTCTAGGAAGGAATGGTTCAGTGAAGGGGAGAGAGGAAATGAGAGGAGTTGGGAGAGAGCGATTGTGGACCGCAGCCCAGAGTTAGTTTTGGCTGCAATGCAGCCTTTTCTAAAATGATGTTCCCACGCCCTTTCTTTGACCTGGACGTGTTATCTCCTCATAAATATATTTGGCGGTCAACATTTAACCAATTACATAGAGTGAACGGGACCCTCATCAAAACCTAAAATGCAAATGGAGCACTGAGCTGTTGAACGGTTTCCATCTGGATCACATATTTGCAGTAGGAAACGAGGATTATGGCACGAGTGTCTCTCAAAGTTTGCACCAAGTTTATGCAGCCACTATTTCTTTGTGGGAACTACAAGCCCATAGGTTTGTAGGGAGGATATGAAGGATTAAGAGCTCTTAGCCCCAGTGTCGTCACCAACATAACTGTCTCTTTTGTAAGATTGTTTTGAGGATCAAATTATTTGGCTAATGTAAAAATTCTTGTTTTGTTGGTTATAAGTCATTTACTTCTTTAGGAGGGTTTCTGTGACCTGGAAGAAAATTCAGACTTTTGTTGTGAGGCTGAACTAAATGACGTAGGCTTTGGTCTGGATCATAATTGCCCATTAGGTGATTAATTTCTCAACATTGAATAAGAAAGGAAAGTAAACTGTTTATGGTGATCTGTGATCTTTTTTTTTCTGTCTTCACTTACCTTCTAGATATTTAATGAGCACCCTCCATGTACAAAACCCTATGTTCCTGTGTTTGCAGTGTTAAGAAGAGTAGAGCTTATATTCTTCTGGGTCATTGGATAACAAGCAAGCACAAAGATACATAATTACAAATTACGATAAACTCGAAGTGCAAGATAGCTCAGTGAGGAAGGGTAAGGAGGGATATTTTCAACTGGGTGCTCAGAGGACCTCTCCTTTCCCTTATTTAGGCTCACATTCAGAAAGAAAACCTGCAGCAGCATTTGGGAAGACTTTCCCACGTTTGTGCTCATTAATAGGTAAACCAGGATAAAAAGCTGTGCTATTCCAAATAGATGCCTGTCTTGTCCTGTATTTTTGCTCTGAGCTTTTGCACAAGCATTTAATTCTGATTGGTTTTCATCAGATGGTAAAAAGCAGTTTTAATAAATGTTTAGCTACAATGTAGCTTCCTCTACCTCTTGTAGTTGTAAGTATAAGACTTCTTGAACTTGTACTTCTTGTACTTTTCATTGTTCATTTTCTTGGTGTTCTCTAACAACCATGTCATTACTCTCTGAAATCTTTTCATGAATCTCAAATTCATTCAAAGTTTCATTTTATAACTTTTATCATCAGTTTCTTTGCATCTTTTTTTTTTTTATTTAAAGATTTTATTTATTTGACACAGAGAGAGATAGCGAGAGCAGGAACACAAGCAGGGGGAGTGGGAGAGGGAGAAGCAGGCTTCCTGCCAAGCAGGGAGCCCGATGTGGGACTCGATCCCAGGACCCTGGGATCATGACCTGAGCCGAAGGCAGACGCTTAACGACTGAGCCATCCAGGCGCCCTCTTTGCATCTTTTAAATCCTGAGGTAGTCTCATTTGTCCATTGGTAGAATGAGCAGGTGTTTTGTTATTGGAGAATCTGACCAAAACAGCAAGAAATATTTTACTGAGGAAGATCAGGTTGATCATCTTTCTAATGGAGGAGTAATAATTGGCTCTGTTCATAGCAAATTCTTGAACCAGCTATGTGCAGCTATCTAAAGCCAAGATTTTGTCTGACCCCATCTTCATTCCTATGCTTTATACCAGAAAGCTGTTTGATTCAGTGCCATCCAACAAAGGAGTGGTGAGAGTGCATGGTTCTCTAACTCTCCTTAAAAGACTGTAGTGACAATTGCCTATTTGTACCTCATGAGTTTGTGGGAGTCCTGCATGATAGTATCCCTTTTCTGCCAACCATTTGGATAATGATAGATGTTCTATTGGGAAGTTTGTCTAAGTAAAGCACCCATTCTCAAAAGGACACAGGTGATAGCTGTCTTCATATGTTTGAATATACTCCAGAAGAAGAGAGAAGCTTATTCTGTAGCCTTCCAAATGGCTAAACTTGAACCAAAAGGTTAAAGTTACAGAGAGATTTCAGTTGAATATAAGGGAGTTGTCTAATAGAAGCATGCACTAGGATTTTGTAACCTCCCTTTCCCTGGGGTTATTTAAAAGAGGCCTTCATGGCCATTGGCCTGCAGTGTCCTCTCAAGACTTGTCGAGATGGAATAGGTTTAAATCTCTTCTAGTCGTTTAGTTCTAAAATGTTGTTTGTTTCAAGGCTGCCTTGTGTCCCTTTCTGGAAAAGCAGTGATGTGTAATTAAAAGAACATTGGCCTAAGAAAAAAGATCCACGTTAGCCTCAGTTCTGTTGTTTATTTTGCTTTGTTATGTTAGGCAGTTTACCTCTAGCTTTTAATTTACAATACAGGGTTACTGCTATCTCTTGTCCTATTTACTTCTCAAGATTGCTATAGGGATCATTACAAAAATATCTTTGAGAAATAGTCATACAAATATGAACTGAGCCTAAAGCATATGGTAATTTATATAGACTTGCAGTTGCTCAAAGCAATTAATTAAAAAGAATTGTGTACTTCTTGGAGAATATTGAAAATAGAGAAATGTATAAAGTGAAAGTACCTTTTCCCAGTCCTATCCCTCTTCAAATGTAGTCACTGTTAACAATTTTTTTTTTGTTAACAATTTGTGTGTTTTTAGGTATCTATGCACAATATAGTATATATGTAATAAAGTACATTTTTTTTCTTATTCAATTAAAGTGGGTATGTCAGAATACAGAGATTAAGCTCAGTCTTTTTAATGGCTGTCTAATATAATATAAATGTAGAATACCTTAATTTCTTGTTAGTAAATGCTTGGATTGTTTTCAGTTTATTGCTGTGGCAAAGCTGCTGTAAAATTCTTGGATTCACATATTTGTTGCACATCTATTATCTGGCGCCAAACACTGCTAGATTCTAGAGGTATAGGGTTGAGCATAATATAGTTTGGTGGGCTAGATAAAAGTAGTAATCAAATAATTTTTCAAGTATGTTAATAGAAATCGCAGTAAGGGGGCTGAAGGAAGAGTCTAAGGAAACTTGAGGGTATCAAGCAGGAAGTCTTTTTTTTTTTTTTAAAGATTTTTCATTTATTCATTTGACAGAAAGAGAGAGAAAGCACAAGCAGGGAGAGCAACAGGAGAGGGAGAAGTAGGCTTCCCGCTGAGCAGGGAACCCAATGGGATTCGGGATTTGATCCCAGGACCCTGAGGTCATGCGCCCCTAGCAGGAAGTCTTGATTAAGTTTAGAGGCTTAAAGAAGGCTTCCCTGAGATCTAAAGGATGGAGAGCATTTAAGTAAATGAAGTGGGAAGACCATATATCCTTCTTAAGAATACTATTTGTTTTATATATGTAGTTAGTGTTGTTTTTATTAGCATTTTCCAAAGTGCGCCAGCATCACATCTTCTCCATAAGGCAGGAGTCAGTTTCATGGTTCAGTTACTTTGGAAATAGTACATTCTGGGTCTTGCTTTTAGGGTTCGTAGTGTACTTTGGCATACAACACTGAGAAGTTTTGCAGTGTAAAAAAAGTTATTTAACCAAAACTTGCTTGGTTAGGGAACCCTTTGGTTTGCATAATGCATAATGATTTCGAACTAATTTTGGGAGAAACACTCATTTGGGGGAAACTCTGGTCTTTACCTTCAAATGGAAAAAGAAAATGAAAATCTGAGGCTATACTCTCTAAATCGTTTTGGGAATAAAGTTTTGTTAGCAGTAACTAGTATTTGTATTCTTAAGTGTGTTAGCCATTACACATACTTGATATACATCATCTAATTTTGATCTTCAAAATGACCCTAAGGGGCACCGAGGTGGCGCAGTCGGTTGAGCATCCCAACTCTTGATTTCAGTTCAGGTCATGATCTCGGTGCTTTGGGATTGAGCCCCGTGTTGGCTCCGCACTTGGTACAGAGTCTGCCTGGGATTCTCTCTCCCTCTCCCTCTGCCCCTTGCTTCCGCTCACGTGTGCATGCTCCCTCTCTTTCTCTCAAATAAATAACTAAAATCTTTAAAAAAAAATGACCCTAAGATAGATGCTATAATTATCTTACTCTGTATATTGGGAAGTTAGGACTTAGTGGTAAGTGATGTGTCTACCCAAGTTACATAACTAGCACATGGCTAGCCATTCATTAGGTGATGTCTGTGCTAGGAGACCTCAAAAGACAAGTAAATCAAACCCCTTTTTTGTGTATGTGTGTTACAGTTGTTGTTGTTGTTCTTAAGTAACCTCTACACCAATGTGGGGCTTCTCCTCACTACTCTGAGATCAAGAGTTGGATGCTCTATTGACGGAGCCAGCCAGGTGCCCCAGTGTTGTTGGGGGGTGTATGTGTGTGTGTTGCCTTGTTTCATTTATTTTTTTCCCAATGTTGTTTTTGAATACTGCATGTTTGTGTGTAATAGAAGCAGCGTGACACCACATTAGGGTCAGAACAGAGATGCACTTTATTGCCACTGCCCCTAAACACTACGTGTTTGAAATGTTCCAGAGAAAGAGTCTCTCCTCACCAGGTGTGACTGCCTGTTGTGTCACGTATCACGGATGTGGGCTCGTTGGGGTAGGTCCCATCCGTTCAGCCAGGGCTCCGTGGCAGAGGTGGGGCTCCTTTCACTCCCTTCCTGTGATGCTTATACAGTCAGATCCCTCAGCTTCTGGTTAGGCAGAAAGCTGTCTTAAGTTGAAGGTGGTATGATTACATTTACAGCAGAACAGGATTCTGTGTTTACAAGCAACTTTATTCACAATAGCCAAAAACTGGAAAAAACCCCCCACAAACACCCAAATATCTATCAACAGGAGAATAGATAAGCAGATTGTGTCAATCATACAATGGCATGCTACTCTGCTATTAGAAAAAAAATGAACTACTGATA